CCCCTCACCCCTTCGCCCAGTATGGTCCCAAAGGAGCCCTCACCTGCGTGTCGTGATGCGGTGTCCTTGGACAAAGGTGGTAGACGTAGAAACAGAGCGAAAAGCACCAGCCCCAGGACTGAAGGAGAAAGATGAGGAGGAGAAATCTGGTATGGAGACAAAGGAGGAGGCGGAGAGGTTGTCAGAGGGAGGACAGGCATGCTGCAGTCACCATGGGCCAGGAGCCTTTGTGGGGTCTCCCCGCAGAACTGACAGAAGGCAGGGCTCCAGACACGGAGAGAGGCTTGAGCCTCTCTCTCACGCATGAGCTGGGAGCTGGGATGAAGGGTTCCAGGGCCCAGAGCTTGCAAAACAGGGAAGGGAAAGCACTTACCAGAGTGCCCAGGGAAGGAGGAAGAGAAGGTGAAGAAGGGGCCCGAGTGTCGGGAACCCCGGCTCTGAAGCTCTGAGAAGGGGCCCAGGTCATCTGCAACGAGCAAGCAGATTACTAATCGGCAAAGAGACTTGTCCCCCAAATTGTGTGAACCCTGTCAGTCTAGAAATGTAACCTGATAAGCCTTTCTGATCGTTTTTCTTTTTTGATTGGACTTGTTTACAAATTAAATTTCTTTTTAATATCATATATGGAAAAGACCCCTGGCAAATTCTGTCCACAATAAAAAATAAAGGAAGGAAGGAGGGACGGGAAAATGGAAGGGGGGACAGCCAGTTCCTTCTGTATAGGCAGAAGAGACAGGAGACAGGTAAGCATGGTGTGAAGTCAGGCAGACCTGGCTATGAGTCCTGGCTCTCCCCTTTGCTGTGTGACTCCAAGCAAGTTATCTGAAAGTACCTTTGTTTTCTTAGCTGTAAGTGGAGAGAAAATGATCCAACTCACAGGGTTCATGTTAATCATTCAAAAAATGGTATCTGTTGTTTGTGATGTCATTATTATTGTCACATGGTGCTTTGAGTCTTGCTTTCACGGTTGCTATTGTGCAAGCCTAACAATGTATTATTGTTACTATCATTTAATAAGGCGAGTCTCTGTGGGTCCAGGCCTGTGTAAGGTTCTGCCCCAGCTGTCACTGGATCCACCCCCACAAAATCTTCTGTCTGCGGAATTCTGCTTCCCCTTCAGCCTCCTGCCTCAGGGCCTCCCGGCTGATGGACGACAGGCCTAGAGCAGGAGCCGGGCCAGTAAGAGGCCTCCCAAGCCCACTCACCAAAGAGCTCCGCAAAAGGGTCTCCGCTCCCGAAGAACTCCCGGAAGACCTCCTCGGGGCTGCGGAAGGTGAAGGTGAAGCCGGGCCCACCACCACCAGGTTCCGCTCGAGATGGGCCAGTTCCTGGAGGAGAGGCAAGATGGGGAGGGGGCTCAGGGCAAGCATCTCACCCTGAGCCAAGGGACCCCACTGAAGGCATGACCAGGGGCCTCAAGAGACCATCCACTGCAATAACCTGCCCTCCCTCTCTCTTCCATGAGCCGCGTTCATCCCTCCCCACCCCCACTCCACCTACCTGCCCCAGTCAGCCCTTCCCGGCCATAACGGTCGTAGATCTCCCGCTTATGCTCTGGAAAAAGAGACCAGATCATTTCTCCCTCCCTCTGGGAGGATGGCCTCCCCTTCCAGACTGGGACCCTGTGAGGTCTGCCCAGTGACTGACGCTAAGGAGGCAGCAGGGCGCACAGGGGACGCGGGCTATAGGTTTTAGCAGTGCCTGCTCTTCACACAGTGGCACCTTCTCATCTGTAAAATGGACACAATAATAGCACCCACCTCACAGGGTCATTGCAAGGATTAAATAAGATAATCCACATAAACTGCTTAGCACAGTGCCTGATAACTCAGTAAGTGTTCAATAAATGCTAGCTAATAATTACTACTGTTGGTATTAATCAGGGCTTAGCCTAAATGTCACCTCCTCAGAGAGACCTTCTGTGACCACTGTAACAAAAAATGGTGCCCATTAATCCCTATCAACATCACCCTACTACTTTCCTTCAGAATACTCTTGTCTGTGTACTGCCTTGGTTAATGTCGGTCTTCTGGACCAAAATGGAATAAACCCATCAGGACGAGAACAGTGTCTGCTCGTCCTCCATGGTTCCCCAGTACCCAGCAAGGACCCAGCACCATAAACGCTCAATGAGTATTTTTTGAATGAAGAAATAAATAAAAGACAGACCTGGATTCATATTCCAGCTCTGTGTGACCTGGCGTAAATTACTTCACCTCTCTCAGCCTCAGTTTCCTTGCCTGTAGAGTGGGGGTGATAGATCCTGCCTCACAGGATGGCTGTGAGGACTCCTGGAGATCACACCCACCAGTGCTTGGCACAAAGGAGGTTCGGCACACGTAGGTTACCTGCCCTGCTCCCCTCCTTTTGTCAAGACCCATCCTGCAGCTATCAGACCCTGGGGAGCACACACTGAGCACAGGGGATCAGGGAAAGAATAAAAGGGTGCTTTGAACGTAGCAGGTGCTCACTTGAATTGAAGCAAAACAGAAAAAAGTCCCAGTGTCCCCACAGGGAGGTGGCGGGGGGGGGGGGGGGGGGGGGGGGGGCACTTAGATGCCAGGGTGGAAAAGGCACAGAGGAGACAGGAGGTGGCAGCATGGCTTTGGGAAGCAGCAGGATGGGGCGTGAAATGGGGGTGCCCTGCCCCTGGCCCTTACTGTCTGACAGCACTTCATATGCCTCGGCCACCTCCTTGAACTTCCTCTCAGCAAATTCTTTATTATCTGGGTTCTTGTCTGGGTGCCACTGTAGAGCCTTCTTCCGATACCTGCAGGAAGTGGTTTCAGAGGGGGTGGGTCAGAGGACAAAAGCAAGCACTTCCCACCATGGAACAGAACGGCCCATTTCGCCCATTAGTCCGCCACGGTCCTTTCCCCACTCAGATAGTGTCCACCCCGGCAGCCGGGGCCACCTCTGCTGCCACGTTTTAATGGAGTCCCTCTCTCTCTTCCTCCCCTCTGCAGCCAGTGCTAGGGGCTGTAGTAGCAGCAGATGATCATGTAAGCCTGAGAAAGCCCCAGTCCTAACCCCTCCCTGGAGCGCACTAGGGCTGCAGAAGTTAGAAATATGTGTTGCCATGGAGGGTACAGGGCCCCTCCTGGTCACAGGGCTTGGACCTGTGTATCCTGCAGGTATCCTGACAAAGCCGACCCCCAGGGGCTGGGATTGGGGTAGGAGGGAGGGGGGAGGCGGGATCCACTGGAGAGGGCCCCACAATGCAGCTCCCAGCAGAACTTCTTGCTAAGGGCTTTCCCCTACTCTTCCAGGGGTCTTCTTCCTCACTATAGAGGGAACCCTCCCCCAATCCTTTCTAAGGCCCTAGCTCCCTCGCGGCAAGGCTCCTGAAGGACCCCATGGCGGTGTTGGGGTTTGGGGGGGCGGCGGTGAGAGACTTTCTGATGCGCAGCGGAGGCACTTACGCCTTCTTGATGTCATCAGCGGACGCACTTCGCGGCACGTCTAGGATATCGTAGTAGGATGCCATGGCAACTCGTCAGTAGTCAGATGGGCCTCTCCTCCTCGGGGCTGCAGGAGAGGAGGAGGAGTCAGGCAGAAAGAACCGAGGGCCCCTCCCCGGGGCTGGAGACCCCCGAGGGAGCGGGAAGAGCTCCCAGCCGGGAAGCGGAGCCCACTGGGTTCTTCTGCTCGGGGCCGGTGACGAGGCTCCCTCGGGCTGCCTTATCGGCCCCCCGCAGGCCGGTGCCACGGGCTATCTCGGCGCCCAGGCCCCGGGAGCCCTATCGCAGCCCCCTGACTCCAGCAGCCCGGACCGGGGCCTCCCAGCCTGACCCGGGGCCCCCCGCCCGCACCTCCTCCGCCGGGAGTCCCTGGCCTCCTGCAGCGCCCCGCCCCTGCCCCCCGCCGGAACCGTCTGGCACCGGCCGCCGGGCTCGCGGCTGCTGCGTAGGACGCGCCCGGCCCAGCTGTGCGCGCAAGCATGCGTCAGCGGCTCGGAAACTACTAGAGACCCAGAGGAGGCCGGCTCGGCCTGTCACCCAGGGGGCGGGGAGGCGGGGGGCTGCTGCAGGGGCTGCCGGGAGATGGGGGCGGAGCCGGCTATTTTGGGCTTGCACCCGGGCTACGTCATCCCCGGACCGGACCCGGGAGACTGGAGGCCGGATGCATCCAGGCGTGACGCACTCGCCGGCAAACAAGCTACCCGGCCCGTGGTCCCTGTGTCGCTTTCCTATAAACAGGCTCGATGATCGAAGGCTACTCACCACCTCAAGGACTCACAGACTCCCCCTCTGGGCCTGAATCCTCCCCCTCCTCCCGCCCCAGGTCCTGAAAACTGGCTGCCCCACCTACTTCTCTGAGTAGGTCAGACCTGCCTGTCAGCATCTCGTGACATCCTTCATCACACTCGTCAGAGATACAAGTCAGCACTTACTTGTTTGATTTTTTGATTGACATTTCACCTCCCCCACTAGCATGTAAATTCCACGGGACAGAAATTGTGTCTTTTTTTGCACCAGAGTATGGGAGCAGTAGTGGGGTTCAAAAATATTCTTTGGTTAAATAATGAACAGATTGGAATCTCTTGTTGACAGTTTTGACACATTTGGGGGAGTTGGGGTTAAAAGGTAAAAGGAAAACAAATTTTTAAAAAAAGGAAAAGGAAATTCTGCAGGCTCAAAATTTGTTTTTTTGTTTTTGGGTTTTGTTTTTTGTTTTTTGTTTTTTTGGTTTTGGTTTTGGTTTTGTTTTGTTTTTTTCTCCTAGAGTGATCTCATGTAGACCTTGTCAATGATTCCTGGGTTGAGGACTCACTGGAGAGTTAGAGAACTTTCCAGAATTGGCTGCTACTTGATATCCAGGCCAATGCACAAGTGTTAACTGAACATCTTCTACATAGTAGATGCGGCCAGGCTGTAAAAAGAAGAATATGGCCCAATACCTGGCTTCACAGAGCTCCAACATGATGAGATAACCAGCCCAGCAATATAGCCCACCAGGAAACCTCAAGGTCTGAAAAACAGACAGACCTGGGTTTGCAACCTGGCGCTTTTGTGTGGCTTGGCAAAACCTCTGAGGACTCAGATTTTCCTACCTGAGTACAGGTAACGCCTAGGGCTGTTTGTTAGTCAGATGAGGTGTGGTACATAGTATCCCTAGGTCTTAGTACATATCCTCTCTGGCATCATGATTGGCCCAAGCAGTAAGGCTTATGTGAGTTCAGAAGAGTGTTTTCGTCTGGATGACCTAGAAATGCTTCACTGAAGAGAAAGGCTTGAGCCAGACATGAGAGAAGAAGGTGGTGTGCATTTGTCTACTTTCCCTGGCTGCCCACAGTCTGACCCTTCTGCCTGCATTTGGGAAAGTCCCATTGTTGTAGGCCTGGATGGGAGGCAGGCCACCACCTGTCACAAAGCCCTGACACTTGCTCTCCCAGACTTCTCGGCTCCAAGGGTACAAGCAAAAGACATCAGCCCTGCCAATTGAAAGCTCCAACTGGGACTTTGAATGTGGAGCAAGTCACAGAGAAGCAGGGGCAGTTGAGAATTCATTTCCATAGTGATTGTGACAGAGGAGCCAGCAGCGGCCTCTAGTGTCTGGAGGAGGAAATGTCAGTCTCAGTGCCTGGGTGAGAGGGAGCCTCGCTGCAGCCCCTGTTCTGTAGGGAACAGGGGTCTTGTAGGCAGGCTGTCCTGTGCCATGACCTTGACTATGGTGCTGGCTGCTCAGCTTTCCTTTGGTGCCTACGTGTTTGTGGAGTCTCATCTGGAAGCCCTAGTATTAATTTTGTGTGCTACCCAGCATCTCTCCATTTTATGTTTGTGGGAGGGAAGCAGGGAGGAGTCATTTTTCTTGTTTTTAATTTGCCAGAGCTGATTTCTGCTGTTTACAAGGAGAGCCCTGACTGACCTTAGTTAGTATAGGTGGAAGGAATCACTCCAAAATCTTCCAACCATATCTTTCTTCGTACTTCTCTTATCTCAGCAGACATTTGTCTAGCACCTACTGCGTATGTGATATTATATTAAGAATTAGGAATACAAAGGGGTTTGAGTTGCAGTCCTTGTACTCGAGATAAAAATCTAGTTGGGACATTGACAAATGGTAGCTGAGGGAAATTATGTTGAACACATCTAGCAAACAAAGGGTTAATTTCCTTTGTTCACAGAGAAAAGACAATGCAGTTTTTTAAATGGGCAAAAGGCACAGATAAGACAGATCACAGAAGAGAAAACATTGGCTTTTAAACATATGAAAAGGTGCTCAATCTCATTCATAACAAGAGAATTATAAAGGAAAGCTGCAATAAAATACTTTGTTTCACTTATCAGATGATTGACAAAGGTCAAAAAGTTGTGCATTGTATGGGCAAGGCTGTGGACATAGGCATGCTAGTACAATGGTAGTGGGAGAGCAATATGGCACATATCAAAGTTAAAGGTGAATAGCTTTTGACCCAGCAATTCTGATTCTAAGAATTTATGGTTGTACATATGTGCAAAGAAGTATGTTCAAGAGTTCCAGCATTTGTTTCCAAATCAAAGGACTGGAAACAACCTAAATACTCATTCATAGCAGACTGGTTAAATAAACAACGGTGGGGCACCTGGGTGGCTCAGCCGGTTAGGTGTCCGACTTCGGCCCAGGTTATGATCTCGTGGTTCATGGGTTCAAGCCCCGCGTCGGGCTCTGTGCTGACAGCTCAGAGCCTGGAGCCTGCTTCAGATTCTGTGTCTCCCTCTCTCTCTGCCCCTCCCCCTGCTTGCACTCTGTCTCTCCCTCTGTCTCAAAAATAAATAAACATTAAAAATAATAATAATAAAAATAAGCAATGGTACACTATACAGTGAATACTATGTTGTCACCAAAAAGAATGAGGCATATCTGTATGTACTGAAATGGGCCATCTTCCAGGTTTTTTGTTAAATGAAAAAACAAGGGTAAAACAAAGCGTGTCTAAGTGTGCGTACGTTAGTCCCCCTTATCCACGGTTTCACTTTCTGTGGTTTCAGTTACCCATGGTCAACTGCAGTCTGGAAGCAGATGATCCTCCTGATACATCATCAGAAGTCAAAATTAGCCTAACACTACGTTATAATACCTACGCTATTCACCTCACTTTATCTCATCCTGTAGGCATTTTATCATCTCACATCATCACAAGGAGGCTAAGTACAAGATATTTTGAAAGAGACCATATTCACATAACTTTCATTAGAGTATATTGTTATACGTGTTTTATTTTATTATTATTTTTAATCTCTTCCTGTGCCTAATTTCTAAATTAAACTTTATCATAGGGATGCATGTAGAGCAAAAGACATAATATATATGGGGTCTGGTACTGTCCATGGTTTCAGGCATCCGTTGGGGTCTTAAGCATGTCCCCCATGGATAAAGGGGGGCTACTATATACACATTAATAGGGGTGACTGGGTGGCTCAATCCGTTGAGTGTCCGACTTTGGCTAAGTCATGACCTCATGGTTCGTGGGTTCAAGCCTTGCATAGGGTTCTGTGCTGACAGCTCAGAGCCTGGAGCCTGCTTCAGATTCTGTGTCTCCCTCTCT